GAGGTTGCTGTGAGCTGTGATGCCACTGCACTGTACCCAGGGGGACAGCTTGAGGCTCTGTCTCAAAAAAAAAGAAAGTGTGTGAGTAGGCCCATGACCCATGGGGCACATGGCACTGACTAATAAAGGAGGGTTAGATCTGAGAGTTCTCAGATTCCTCACTGGGAGACCTCAGTGGGGTAAAAGGGACAAAGGCCCTGATTCAGATTAAGTTTAAGAGGGAATGGGATGCCCAGCTCGATGGCTTATGCCCACTATAATCCTAGCACTCTGGGAGGCCAAGGACCAGCCTGAGCAAGAGCAAGATCCTGTCTCTAAAAACAGCTGGGCGTTGTGGCAGGCGCCTGTAGTCCCAGCTACTTGGGAGACTGAGGCAAAAGAATCACTTGAGCCCAAAAATATAAGGTTGCTATGAGCTATGACACCATGGCACTCAACCCCAGGGTGACTGAGTGAGACTTTGTCTCAAAAAAAAAAAAAAAGAGGGAATGGGAGGGATGAATTTAAGACAGTAACTATAGACAGCTTTTTCAAGGAGATTTGTTGCAAAGGGTACCAAAAAAATATGGTGATGGCTAGAAGAGGAATAGTATTTTTTTGATAGTTTTTATTTTTATGTAAATGCACAGAAAATTTGCAAGTGGGTGATGTAAGGTGATAACTTGAAACTCAGAGCTAGGGGCCTGTAGGGAGTAGGGGAAGAAGGGTGTAAGTGCCCTAGCAGGCTAGCCCAGTGGTAGGAGGGCTACGGGAGAACAAGACACACTGCAGGACAACTGTCTTCAGCAAAGAACCAGGTCCCAGGATAGGCTGGATATTTATTTCTAGGGATATTTGCTGGTAGCAGCACTATTATCACCATGTGAAGGACATTGCACATTGAGCATCGTCATTGTGCTAGGGATACAGTGACAGGGTTTGGGAGGTAAAGAAGGTGAAAGATGAGCACTAAGGCTTCTCCATGGCTTTATGGGGCTTCGAGTGGAGGAAACCAGTCCTGACCTGGGAGTATAGGGGTAGGATTTGTAGTAACCACCATGAAAAGGTACAAAGAACAAACTGAGATTAGTCCTAATACATTCAGGATAAACAGTGGGGGTGAGGGAGCTGAGTGTTGCAATGAAGGCAGGGATGGGTGATTGGGACCCCACCCTCATCCCTAACTACTGGGTCAGATGGTCCTAGAGAGGCATAGCCTTTGCCTGGCATCCTGCTCCACTGTTTTTAACTCTTTACTTTGAAATAAT